ATCGAAAATCAAAAATTTCTTTAAATTAAAATCATTAAAATCAAAAAAAGATAAAAATAATGATCAAATAATTACGAACCCTCAATTAAGTAAAAATAAGAAAAGCAAAACATGTCAAATACGAAATAGTAAATTATACATCCCAATTCAACCAAGAAATGTTACTGATTGTAAATATATTTTACATCCCTCCTTTTCTTATTTGTTTTATTTTTTTATTATTGTATTGTTTATTTATTTTAAATCATCATTCTTTATTACATATTTAGTATTTGATTCCGAACCTGATTTTGAAATTCCCGAACATTCTAAATTTGAAATTTCCGAAGGTAAAATTTTATTATTATTATTTGTTTGTTAATACTTACTCATGGAATTTAATGAATTGAGTTTATTTTTATGATGCAATGATAGAAATCGAACAACAGTATCATAGAAGTATTGGAGCCGGTAATCAAAATAAATTATGTAGTAATTAATTGTTTCTAAATCACGTGATATATTTAAATTTTTTTAATTTTAGATGATTAAGAATAGGTCCATTAAATAGGAATTTATTTATTTATTATTAGAACTTTATATTTCATATTTTTTATCATTATCAAATTATTTTGTTTTTGTGGATAAGACAATTCGATATTTTTTTTTTGAATATAAGCAAAAAAATGTTTGAATGTTTCTGTAGTTTATTAATATTATTTATGTATATTTTATTATATTTATTATTATTTTTTTTTTGTATTATAAGAATGCCTATTAAGTTTCTATCGTCATCTAACTAAAAGAAAATGAAGTCTTTATTTCGACTTCGTATTTAATAGAACCGTTGACGTATTTCTTTTTAATTAAATAAACTATGTACAATATATTTTTTTTGTAATAAAGCTTATCATAAAGAATTATATTATATAATCATCAATTATTATTATTATTATTCTATTCTATTATTTTACTATTCCACACAATAATACCATTGCGTTATTCATTAATCCGATTATATTCGTGATAAATTTGAATAAATTCAGATAAATAATGGATAGAATAATTGGTATTATAATCGGAATAATGGAATCCTATAGCATAACTATCTTTTTAGTTCCTTCTTCGTTTTCTTTCTCATTTTGTAACTTTCCGATAAAAAAATTGTTATTGTTGTTATTATTATTATTATCGATAATTGTTGTTGGTGTTGTTATTTGTTATATTATTAAATTCGTAATATTTTTTTATTATTATCCATGATCTTAATTTTAATGATGTGGAATTTTAATAGAATAAAAAGAAAACTGAAATACAATTTTCATATCCGATATATTAACAACATTTTTCTCAGAATACATTACTTCTTTGATTTCTTTTTATTCTTTACAGATATATCTCACAAAAGGAAAGGCGCTAATTAAATAATTTCATATTTCAGAATTGCTTCATTTCACTAATTTCTTCTCGCGAGATATTTGAAATAACTATTTTTATAATAAAAATATATCTGGTGTTGATTGAAGTCACGCTTCAGCTACTAATAATAATTTAATGAAATATTAATCTAATATTACATTAATTATCTTTATTATTATTTTAGCTTTAACTCTTATTAGTTAGATCTAGTAAGGTTTCTTTGACTATTACTAATATTATTACTCCTTCGATAATACGTACTCTAAATTATATTTGTATTTGTGGTACGATAAATACGTTTGTAACACAGAAGAAACAAATAATAATTTGTTAAAAATATTTTTTCGTTTAAAACTTACTCTCTAACTTTATCTGTTATAAAATTGCGCAACATTACATATTATACATCAATATAACTCAATACAGTTAACGTACTCGTCAATTTTATAATTAGTAAATAATAAAATTCAATTTAAATAATAAACCTTGTCTATAGTCTATTATTAAATAAATAAATGAATCCGCGGTAATTTATACTAAATTTTAAGTTTAAACAATAAAGTATGCATTAATTAATATTTAAAACCATATTACTAATAATGAAATTAGGAAATGACTACTCAAAAAATTGAATGGAATGAAAAATTAAGAAGTGTTCGGGATAAGTCATTTTATTCTCTAGACACAAATATTCATAAAACAATTACTGAGCAAGAAAAATATCGAAAAGATTTTATTAAAAATGATTCGTCTCTCACAGAAAATGAGAAGAAATTTTTATTTAGTGAATTACAGGATAGCTCTGATGCATTCAGAATTGGTGATAATTCTGTAGAAAAACAAA